GCCCCAAAATTCCCGCGGGATCTCCCGGAATTCCCGGGAAAAAACCCAAAATCCTTCGGAAAAGCCCAAAATTCTCCCGGAAAATCCCAAAAATCCCTTGGAAAAACACCAAAAATTCCCTGGAAAATCCCAACATTCCCCCGGAAAATCCCAAAATCTCGCCGGAAAATCCCCAAATTTCTTCCGGGAAGCCCCAAAATCCCTTTGGGATCTCCCGAAATTCCCGCGAAAACCCCAAAAATCCCTGGAAAACCCCAAAATTGTCCCGGAAACCCCCAAAATTCCCATGGGAAATCCCAAAATGTCACCCTGAAACACCAAAAATTCCCTTGAAAATCCCAAAAATTCGTTGGAAAATCCCAGAAATTCGTTGGAAAATCCCAAAATTCTCCCGGAAAACCCCAAAATTTCACTGGAAAAACCCCAAAATTCGCCCGAAAATCCCATAATTTCATCCGGAAACCCCAAAAATTCACTGGAAAATCCCAAAAATTCGTTGGAAAATCCCAAAAAATCCCTGGAAAACCCCAAAATTCCCCGGAAAATCCCAAAATCTCGCCGGAAAATCCCCAAATTTCTTCCGGGAAGCCCCAAAATTCCCGCAGGATCTCCCGGAATTCCCGGGAAAAAACCAAAAATCCCTTGGAAAATCCCCAAAATTCGCCAGAAAATCCCAAAATTCGCCGGAAAATCCCCAAATTTCCGCGGAAAACCCCAAAATCCTTGGAAAAAAACCCGAAAATTCACTGGAAAATCCAAAAAATCACCGGAAAACCCCAAAATTTTCCCGGAAAATCCCAAAAATTCGTTGGAAAATCCCAAAATTCTCCCGGAAAAACCCAAAATTCACCGGAAAAAAACCCAAAATTTCGCTGGAAAACCCCAAAATTCGCCCGAAAATCCCAAAATTTCACCCGGGAACCCCAAAAATTCTCCATGGAAAATCCAAAAAATCCCAAAATCTCGCCGGAAAATCCCCAAATTTCTTCCGGGAAGCCCCAAAATTCCCGCGGGATCTCCCGGAATTCCCGGGAAAAATCCCAAAAATCGCTTGGAAAAACCCCAAAATCCCTTGGGAAAACCCCAAAATTCGCCGGAAAATCCCAAAATTTCATCCGGAAACTCCAAAATTCCCGATGGGAACCCCAAATCTTCCCTGGAAAATCCCAAAAATTCGTTGGAAAATCCCAAAATTCTCCCGGAAAACCCCAAAATCTCTTGAAAAACCCCAAAATTCTTCCGGAAAATCCCAAAAAATCCCTAGAAAACCCCAAAAATACACTGGAAAATCCCAAAAATTCCCTTGAAAACCCAAAAAAATTCCCGGAAAATCCCAAAATTCCCACGGAAAATCCCCAAATTTCTTCCGGGAAGCCCCAAAATCCCTTTGGGATCTCCCGGAATTCCCGCGAAAAAACCCAAAATTCCTTCGGGAAAAGCCCAAAATCCCCCCGGGCCCCCCCGGAATTCCCGAAATTCCCGAATTCCCGAAATTCCCGAATTCCCAATTCCCACCTGAGCGCCGCCGAGTCCCGCGGGGGAGGAGGAGGAGGAGGAGGGTGGGGGAGGGGAGGGTGGGGGAGGGGAGGGGAGGAAGCGCCGCCGGAATCCCAAAATTCCTTCCGGGAGCGCGCGGGAAATGCGGCGCAGCCCCAAAATCCCAAATTGGGGAGAAATCCCCAAAAATCCCCCCAAAAAATGGGGGAGAAATAAAAAAAATGGGGGAGAAATCCCAAAAAAAAACACAAAAAAAAAATGGAGAGAAATCTTGAAAAATGGGGGAGAAATCACCAAAAAAAGACAAAAAATGGGGGAGAAATCCCAAAAAATCCCAAAATTGGGGGAGAAATCCCGGAAAAAGACAAAAAATGGGGGGAAAATCCCAAAAAAATCACAAAATTGGGGGAGAAATCCCAAAAAAAGACAAAAAATGGGGGGGGGAAATCCCAAAATTGGCGGAGAAATCCCGAAAAATCCCCAAATTGGGGGAGAAATAAAAAAAATCACAAAAAAAATGGGGGAAAAAACCCAAAAATGGGGAAGAAATCCTAAAAAATGGGGAAGAAATCAAAAAAAAAAATCACAAAAATTGGGGGGAAATCCTGAAAAATCCCAAAACTGGGGGAGAAATCCCAAAGAAATCACAAAAAAATGGGGGAGAAATACTAAAGAAGACAAAAAATGGGGGAGAAATCCTAAAAAAATCCCAAAAATGGGGGAGAAATCCCGAAAAAAAACCCCATAAAAAATGGGGGATAAATCCTAAAAAATGGGGATGAAATGCCAAAAAAAATCAAAAAAAATGGGGGGAAATTCTAAAAAAAACCAAAAAATGGGGGGAATCCCCCCCAAAAAACCACAAAAAATAGGGGGAAAATCCCAAAAAATGGGGAAGAAATCCCCAAAAAAGCACAAAAAATGGGGGGAAAACCCAAAAAAGACAAAAAATGGGGGAGAAATTCTAAAAAATGGTGAAGAAATCCTCAAAAAATCACAAAAACTGGGGGGAGAAATCCCGAAAAGATCACAAAATTTGGGGAAAATAAAAAAAATGGGGAAGAAATCCTAAAAAAAAAAAAAATCCCAAAAAATGGGGGAGAAATCCGAAAAAAAATCACAAAAAATGGGGGAGAAATCCCCAAAAAATCCCCCCAAAATGGGGAAGAAATCCCCCCCCCCAAAAAGTCCCAAAAAATGGGGGAGACATCCTAAAAAATGGGGATGAAATCCCAAAAAAACTCACAAAAAATGGGGGGAATCCCCCCCAAAAAACCACAAAAAAACGGGGGGGAAATCCCCAAAAAATTGGGGGAAATTAAAAAAAAAAAAAAGATGGGGGAGAAATTTAAAAAAAAAAATCACAAAAAAAATGGGGGAAATTTTTTTTTAAATCACCAAAAATGGGGGAAAACCTCCAAAAATCCAGAAAATGGGGGGGAAAATCCCCAAAAAAAAAAAAAATTGGGTGAAATTTTTAAAAAAATGGGGAGAAATTAAAAAAAATAATTCACAAAAAATTGGGGGAAAAAATCACCAAAAACGGGGGGGGAAATCAAAAAAAATCACAAAAAATGGGGGAAATCCTCCAAATATCTAAAAAATGGTGGAAAAATCCCCAAAAATGACCAAAAATGGGGGGAAAATCCCAAAAATTCCCAGGAAATATGGGAAGAAATTCTCAAAAAAGGGGAAAAATAAAAAATACAATAATCAGGGGGAAATTCCCCAAAATTCCAAAAAATTTGGGGAGAATTCCCAAAAAAAAATGGGGGAAAATCCCAAAATTGGGGGAAAAATCAACATCTGGAAAAATCCAAAAATTTGGGATGAAATCCCCAAAAATGGCAGAAAATTCCAGAAATTGTGGGAGAATTCCCAAAATTTGGGGTTAAATCCCAAAAATTTGGAATAAATCCCAAAAAATTGTGGGGAAATGCCCCAAAAATTGGGAGAAATTCCCAAAAATTTGGAATAAATCCCAAAAAATGAACACGAAATCCCAAAAAAATTGGGATAATTTTTTTTAAATTGGGATAAATTCCCAAAATTTGGGGGATTTTTTTAAAATTGGGAGAAATTCCCCAAAAATTTGGGAGAAATTCCAAAAAATTGGGAGAAATTTCCTAAAAATTTGGGAAAATTTTCTCAAAATTGGGAGAATTTCCCTAAAAAATTGGGATTAATTCCACAAATTTGGGCCCAAATCCCCAAAAAATGGGAGAAATCCCCAAAAATTTGGGAGAAAACCCAAAATTTGGATGAATTCCCAAAAATTGGGAGAAATTCCCAAAATTTTGGTAGAAATTCCGCAAAATTGGCAGAAATTCCCAAAAATTTGGGAGAAAATCCCAAAATTGGGGAAAATTCCCAAAATTGGGAGAAATTCCCAAAATTTGGGATCAATTCCATAAAATTTGGGATAAATTCCCAAAATTGGGAGAAATTCCCAAAATTTGGGAGAAAACCAAAAAAATGGGGGTGAAATTCCCCAAATTTTGGGACAAATTCCCAAAAATTTGGGAGAAATTCCCAAAAAATTTCAGAGAAATTCCCAAAAATTTGGGATTAATTTTCTTTTTTAATTTAGAGAAATTCCCAAATTTGTTGGGAACTCCCAGTTCAAACCAGTTCAAACCAGTTCAAACCAGTCCAATCCCAGTAAGGACCAGTTCAAACCAGTAAGGACCAATTCAATCCCAGTTCACACCAGTTCATCCCAGTTCAAACAAGTCCAATCCCAGTTCATCCCAGTTCAATCCCAGTTCAAACCAGTTCAAACCAGTCCAATCCCAGTCTGATCCCAGTTCAGTCCATCCCAGTTCCATCCCAGTTTGTCCCAGTTTGTCCCAGTTCCCTCCCAGTCCCTCCCAGTACAAACCAGTTCAATCCCAGTTTGTCCCAGTTCAATCCCAGTTCATCCCAGTCCCTCCCAGTCCATCCCAGTCCATCCCAGTCCCTCCCAGTCCATCCCAGTTGCTCTCGGGGCTCTCCCAGTTTGGCTCCGCTCCCAAACTGGGAGGAACTGGGAGGGGCTGTGCTGAGTCAGCAACTCCAGCCCTGGGAACTCCCAGTTCAAACCAGTTCAGACCAGTTCAGACCAGTTCAGACCAGTTCAGACCAGTGACCCCCAGTGCTCCCAGTCCCTCCCAGTTCATCCCAGTTCAAACCAGTCCCACCCAGTTTGTCCCAGTAACCCCCAGTTCATCCCAGTTTGTCCCAGTTTGTCCCAGTTCATCCCAGTCCCTCCCAGTAACCCCCAGTTCACCCTCCCAGTGCTCCCAGTTCAAACCAGTAACCCCCAGTTCATCCTCCCGGTGCTCCCAGTTCCTCCCAGTATAAACCAGTATAAACCAGTACAAACCAGTAAGCCAAATCCCCCTCCCAGTCCCTCCCAGTATAAACCAGTTCAAACCAGTAACCCCCACTTCCCTCCCAGTTCAAACCAGTCCCTCCCAGTAACCCCCAGTTCATCCTCCCAGTTCATCCCAGTTCAAACCAGTAACCCCAAACCCCCTCCCAGTTCATTCCCAGTACAAACCAGTAACCCCAAATCCTCTCCCAGTTCAAACCAGTTCAAACCAGTAACCCCAAACCCCCTCCCAGTTCAAACCAGTAACCCCAAACCCCCTCCCAGTTCAAACCAGTAACCCCCAGTCCCGTCCCAGTTCAAACCAGTAACCCCCAGTTCCATCCCAGTTCATTCCAGTACAAACCAGTAACCCCAAATCCCCTCCCAGTTCAAACCAGTACAAACCAGTAACCCCAAATCTCCTCCCAGTTCAAACCAGTAACCCCCAAATCCTCTCCCAGTTCACACCAGTTCAAACCAGTAACCCCCAAATCTCCTCCCAGTCCCTCCCAGTGCTCCCAGTTCAACCCAGTAACCCCAAATCCCCTCCCAGTTCATCCCAGTTCAAACCAGTAACCCCAAACCCCCTCCCAGTTCAAACCAGTAACCCCCAGTCCCTCCCAGTCCCTCCCAGTAAGGACCAGTGACCCCTCCCAGTGCTCCCAGTACAAACCAGTAACCCTAAATCCTCTCCCAGTTCATCCCAGTTCAAACCAGTAACCCCAAACCCCCTCCCAGTTCAAACCAGTAACCCCAAACCCCCTCCCAGTTCATCCCAGTTCATCCCAGTTCATCCCAGTAACTCCCAGTTCATCCTCCCAGTTGAACCAGTATATCCCAGTATATCCCAGTATATCCCAGTATGATCCCAGTATGATCCCAGTACATCCCAGTATATCCCAGTACATCCCAGTATATCCCAGTATATCCCAGTATGATCCCAGTATGATCCCAGTACATCCCAGTATATCCCAGTACATCCCAGTATATCCCAGTATATCCCAGTATATCCCAGTATGATCCCAGTATATCCCAGTATGATCCCAGTATGATCCCAGTATATCCCAGTATATCCCAGTATATCCCAGTATGATCCCAGTATATCCCAGTATGATCCCAGTACATCCCAGTATGATCCCAGTATATCCCAGTATATCCCAGTATATCCCAGTATGGTCCCAGTATGATCCCAGTATATCCCAGTATGATCCCAGTATGATCCCAGTATGATCCCAGTATATCCCAGTATATCCCAGTATGATCCCAGTATATCCCAGTATGATCCCAGTATGATCCCAGTATGATCCCAGTATATCCCAGTATATCCCAGTATATCCCAGTATATCCCAGTATATCCCAGTATGATCCCAGTACATCCCAGTATGATCCCAGTATGATCCCAGTATATCCCAGTATATCCCAGTATGATCCCAGTATATCCCAGTATGATCCCAGTATATCCCAGTATATCCCAGTATGATCCCAGTATATCCCAGTATATCCCAGTATGATCCCAGTATATCCCAGTATGATCCCAGTACATCCCAGTATATCCCAGTATGATCCCAGTATGATCCCAGTATATCCCAGTATGATCCCAGTATGATCCCAGTATATCCCAGTATGATCCCAGTATATCCCAGTATATCCCAGTATATCCCAGTATATCCCAGTATATCCCAGTATGACCCCAGTATATCCCAGTATGATCCCAGTATATCCCAGTATGATCCCAGTATATCCCAGTATATCCCAGTATATCCCAGTATATCCCAGTATGATCCCAGTATATCCCAGTATATCCCAGTATATCCCAGTATGATCCCAGTATATCCCAATATATCCCAGTATGATCCCAGTATGATCCCAGTATATCCCAGTATATCCCAGTATGATCCCAGTATGATCCCAGTATATCCCAGTATATCCCAGTATGATCCCAGTATGATCCCAGTATATCCCAGTATATCCCAGTATATCCCAGTATGATCCCAGTATGATCCCAGTATGATCCCAGTATATCCCAGTATATCCCAGTATGATCCCAGTATGATCCCAGTATATCCCAGTATGATCCCAGTATATCCCAGTATATCCCAGTATGATCCCAGTATATCCCAGTATATCCCAGTATATCCCAGTATATCCCAGTATGAATTTTGGGCTGATTTTGGAGCCTCCAGGTGCCCCAAATTTGGGGATTTTTGGGCCGAATTTTTGGGATTTTTCCCCAAAAAATTTTGGGGATTTTTGGGGGAATTTTCCAGAATTTTTGGGGAATTTTTTGGGGTTTTTTTGGGGGGAAATTTTGGGGATTTTTGGGGGGAAATTTTGGGGATTTTTGGGGAATTTTTTTGATTTTTTTGGAGGGAAATTTGGGTGATTTTTGGGGATTTTTGGGGGAAATTTTGGGGATTTTTGGGGAATTTTTTGGGTTTTTTTGGAGGGAAATTTGGGGGATTTTTGGGGATTTTTGGGCAAAATTTTTGGGATTTTTGGGGTTCCGGGAATTTGGGGGATCCCAAATTTTTTTGAGGGGTCCCAAATTTTTTTGGGGTCCCCCCACGAGATTTGGGAACCTCCAGGTGCCCCAAATTTGGGGAATTTTTTGGGGAATTTTTCAGAATTTTGGGAAATTCCAGAATTTTGGG